ATGGCGGAGAATTTACTAACAAAGTTTTAGAGGAATTGGTTGACCAGAAAAAGGAATCTGGGCCGAGAAGTCACTCCCGTATCATCATTATCAAAACGGGATGATCGAGCGTTTTAACAGGACTATTCAGGATATGGCAAGGACGATCCTGATTGACAGTGCACTTCCAAAGCCTTTTTGGAGCTACGCGTTTCTGTGGGCCAATCATGTGCTCAATTGCATCCAGAACAAGTCGAGTGGAGATGTGACGCCTTACGAGGGCCTCTTCCATGAGAAGCCGCGGTACGATGGATTCAAGGTTTTCGGGGCAGTAGGTTACATCCACATCCCGGAGGAGAAGAGACAACGCCTTGAGCCCCGAGCAATGATGGCCCATGTCATCGGGCACCTTGAGGTTAGCAAGGGGTGGCTCCTCTGGATACCGGAGGACAACACCTTTGCGACGTCGGCAATGGTTAGGTTCCCAAATGACCTACCGGTGAGTCCGAGTCCTGTCCCTATCAACAAACAAATTCCCGCCAGTACCCTGAAAGATCTCCCAAAGGAGAATGCAAAACTGTCGCTTTACTACATCATGAACCTGATGCAGTTAGGTGATTTCTCTGATGAAATAGAGTTTACTAACCAGGAAATGATTGTTGACAAGATCCTTGAGATGTGCGAGTTCTATTCGATTTCTGTTCCTAAAACTTTTAAGCAGGCGATGAAATCAGATGAAAAGGATGCGTGGTCAAAAGCCATTGCGGTCGAACTGACTAACCTCGAGCAAATGCGGGTCTGGGATCTCCTCCTGAAACCTCGAGAGACAAAAGAATTGGGGGGCAGGTGGGTATTTGCCACCAAACCTGATGTTGACGGTTCGGGAATTAGGTTCAAAGCCCGCTACGTGGCAAAAGGTTTTACTCAAATCGCTGGGAAAGATTTCAATGAGACTTTCGCGCCAACAGCGACTTTTGTGTCACTACGCCTACTACTAACAATTGCAGCCACAAAAAAATGGCCGGTCCACAGTTTCAATTTTGTTGAGGCTTATCTCAACTCGCCTATCGATGAGGAAGTGTGGGTTAAACCACCTGAAGGCATGTCGGTTCCCTCGGGCCATGGACTCCTTCTGAAGAAGGCTCTGTATGGTACTCAGACAGGCGGCGCGGTGCTGGTGGTTACACTCTGAAGGACTCTGCTGGATAAGTTTGGCTATTCTCCATCCCAATATGACAATAGCCTCTATATCCTTCGTCACTCGGAGGAACTCGGGGTTGTCTGGGCTTCATGTGGATGATGGTGTTATGACTGCTTTCTTCTGAAAGACTTATAC